AACAAAATCTAAAACAAACCAGAAAATTGTATACAGTAAATATGCCTTCCGTATGGTGATTTTACCCACAGAGGAGAAAATTTAAAAGATGTTGGGGGAAGAAAAAGAGAAATAGAAGAAGAGGAAGAAAATAGAAGCAGGGCTGGAGAACAAAGGCAGATTACACAAACTTTGGGAAACAGGTGAAGAAGACAAGAGAGAAAGAAATAAATACAAGAACAGAACAACAACAACAAAAAAACCTAGAAACAATGTTCACACTTATATGAAAATAAGAACAAATAATCAAAAAAGAAAACAAAGCAAAACAAAAACAAGAAAATAAAAGAAGAAAATAAGAGAAATTTTAAAAAGTCCTCTTCAAGGCATGTCTCTGCAGTCACTGGTAGACAAAGTGGGCAGACAGAGTCCAGATCCATGTTGATTAATCTCAGCCAGACAGTTGTAGATTTATGGCATCATAGTGGATAATCCCACCAAGCCTAGACCTTTAGTTCTGAAGCTCAGGTTGGTTTCTGTCAGTGAAGCTGGAGCCTGTTTTGTTCAGCCTTCAATAACCCATGTGTCTCTTGGCTTGAACTTGGCTCCTTGACCTCCTGCCAACTTGAACTCAGTTCGACTTCACCCTATGGAGCCAGCGCTGAAGCTGCTCTAAGTTCCAAGCTCATTGGGCCCTCTCCAAGATGGCTACCAGCCAATTGCCCTATCCAGGAGGATGTCTGAATCTAAGTAACTCACCAGCCACAGCAGCCTGCTGTGTCCACTGCTCCATTCAACTGATGTTTCTCCATAGAGGCCTTTGGGGTAGGCACAGTGTGTCTGCAGGTTTGAGTTCCCCTTCCCACAAACTGAGTTAAGGATCAGGGAGAAACCATCACTTGCTGCCTTCTTTGTAGAAGTCTCTCTCTTGCTCTTCCCATGCACTTCAATTCTTATTTCAGATCCTTGCTAGGTCCCAGAAACCCACTTCCCTCCTTCTCTTCTTCACGTTGCTATATTCTGTTCCATCTGGACACCAAATCTCAGAGAGGCTGTTTCCCTGCTGTTTATCACTCTGTCATCTTCTTCAGAGGAGCTAGAAGCCTACTATTTTCTTTTTTAAAAATCATTTTAAAAGACTAGGTAGAGATTTACAGGAAAAATGTCTACCAAACATTGGTCCAAAGTTTAAATGTATTATAGAGATTTTATCTGCTTTATTCTAGATTACCATAGAAACTGATAATTTAGCATGTAGGAACAATGGAAATTTTCACAGAGTAGCCAAATAGCTGCTAACTGATTTTATTTGATTAATTTTGAAACATAATTATTCAATGTAACTTTTGAAGGACTTATAATTTTAAGGATTTATCAAAATGAGTAAGTATGATATATGACAGGAAGTTACTGGATTACAGAGACACCACTAATAACTGAGAACACAATTATACCTAACCCAGTACATAGAGATGCCTTAGAATTCAGAATGAACTATGTAAATATTTTCAAAGTTTATTTAAAAACTGAGAGTGGAACAACTCCTAAAAGTCACACTTGTATAAACACCATTTGTGTCTTATGCACTCTCTTTACCAGAAACTCTACAAGGCAAAAGGAAGCCTAGTTGGATTATACATAAGTGCCATTAATGTAAGAAACCAGGCAGCATCTAAAAAACAAATAAAATAGCCCTAAGAGGGAATAAAGCCAGGGGACAGAGCTAAGTATAGATTAGAAAGACAAAATAACTTCCTGTCATGTATATCCTAAGGAATGGACTGCCCATAATCGAGTTGAGGGATTGCTCAGAATGTAGATATAGACAAGCATCTCTGACTTTACTAGGAAACATGAATCCAAGATAGAAATTCTCTGGAAAGAAATAAAATATTTATAATCAAGCTGTCTCTGGAGAAGAGTACACACCTGCATCCTAGAACAAAGGAGCTCATAGAAGTTACTAGAGTTCAATTTTCTCCCCTAATTCACTGTATAATTATTCTTTTCTGCCAAAATATAAATTGCTCAGTTCATTCCACAAACATTTATTTACTATTTACTTTCCCAGACACTGTGTTGATGAAAGACTACCAAAGTGAGTAAGAAACAGTCTCTCCCCTTGAGAATGAGGGAAGACAAAGACAAAATTGTAATACAACATGACCAATGCAGTGCTCTGATAACATGGAGGAAGGTCATTTACTTAGACAAGCCCAGAAATGAGTCAGACAGGGAAGTTAGAGTTATGTTGCATGAGAGGATACCTAATTTAGCTCTTAATGGATAAGAATGTAGTCAGATGCAAAACAAGAAAAAGAACATTCAAGAGAAGGAGAGGAAGAGGAGGAGAAGGAGGAGGAAACACGCAAGACAGAGAGAAGAAAGAAAGAACAAACAAAAGAAAGAAAAAATGAATGAAAGAAAGAAAGAGGGAAAGGGAAAGGGAGACAAAAGGCTACAAAATAAACAGAAGCCAAGGATTGGAGCATGAAATTGTGTGATGTATGATAAGAGGTGATGTATTAGATACCATAAGTAGGTTGTTATTATTAGAATATAAGCACGACAATTATAAGGGGTGGGAAGCTGATGATATATAAGCCATATTGCAGAGGGACTAGTAAAACATGCAAAAATCTTGAACTTTATCTCATGCATCATTGCAAACCACTCCTGAACAGAATGACACAGAATCACATTTTACATAAATCACTCTGGTAGCATTCTGGAGGAAGAATCTGAGAGGGGGCAAGACTGGAGGTGGGGTGACCAGTTAGGAGGCTACTGCTATAGTTCAGGCAGGAAATAATGAGGTCCTGAACTAACAAGTAACCTTCTAACAAGTAACCTTCTAATAAAAACCCCCTGAGCTGTAAAACCAATAATCTAGAATGATCACAGTGTAGCACAACAGCAAACACTCATTCCTTGATAGTCACACATATATACAATATTTATATATCACATATATTTACACTTATATACAAATAGTTTTTGCCACTATTGGACTAAATTATAGATTGACCTTTTCTACATTAATAAAAAAGGACGAAAGTTAGGAAAACAGCAGCTAAAACCCAAAGCATTCAGTATTTTATTTATCTTAGCACTAATAATTAATTAGCAACTAGTAATAATTGTTACCTCCCAAATCATTATTTTACTGAAAACATATTGAATGTTAGACATTTAGACTTAGGAAGAGGAAAATTATTTATAATGTATCATATAAAATATCTAAAATCAAGAACATCAGCTTTGTTAAAAGCTTTGAATATATTAATAAAAAGAGTCTAGAATACTAAGATCTATGCTAGTAAAGAAAATAACATGGTCAAAGAATCAAAGATTTTAGTAAGATAGGAATATGAAGGGTGCACAGGTAATGGGGGAAGAAATAAGAACTAAGATACATCATGTTCAAGTACAAACACCCAATGATAAATGTAAATGTATTGTATACCTAAAACGTATCAATTAATATATAAATTTTTAAAAATACAAAAATAAAAGACAGGAGGAATAAAGTCAAGAGATCTATTGTACAACATAATGACCATAAATTAATGATGTAGTATATTCTTGAGTTCTCTAACAGTGGATTTTCAGTGTTCTCCCCAATGATTAAGTACAAAGTAATACACATGTTAGTTTGGTTTAACCATTGCACAATGTATACATATATACAAGTTTTGTCAATAAAAAGACATGAAGTTTTTTTAAAATAATATGACCTCAGTCTTCACATTTTAAGCCTATCATCCCACATATACCATTTAATATATACAAACCTGAGTAAGATAGAACCATTACATTCATTTTGCAGATGAGAAAACTAAAGTTTACGCAAGTTTATTTACCTAGCAACTAGGATTTATTTAATGTCTGTCTCTCTTTAGATGCTTTATTTAAAGCCATTAGAAAACCAAATGTAAACTACATAAGCATTCTAAGAACATTTTTATTTCACAAATACAATGCTTCATATCAGAAAGTCAAGTTTTAGCGTGGGCAATGAAATTAAAACTGAAATCAAAATGATCTTGGCTTAAATCTAGACTACTCCCTTTTAGCTGGAGGAATTGGAGTAAACCACATTTCTTTAAACTTCAACATGTATAAAATGGTTTACTAAGCCTTCAAAGGGTTCTTGCAAAAATTTCAAAGTAATCAATAGTAACTAATGATATTAAAAAATCAACATAAAGTAGAAAAAATTAATATACTACCTTTAAAACTGAAGTAAAAACTTAAATACACCATTCTTTCTTCCTGCTATAAATGTTTTCTGAACCATGTAACAAATATGTATGCATTACTTATACCATGAAGTAGCAAGATTATCCTGACTTTCTCCCAATAACTCTTAAGAATACATAGTCAGTATTTGATAATCTAAGAGCATGTTAACTGGCTACAGTTAAACCGTGATTAATGTGCCACAGGGAACCCACATTTCTCTCCTTTATTATGGAGAAGATGGTTAGGAAACTATAAAGCCCAACCTCTTACCTCATGCATACACAACACTGTAGTTCCCAAACTCCCACCACAGAATTTCCACTTGTCCAGACCCCAAGCTCCCTGGGTGTTTAGTCCCTGCATTGGTTCTTCAAATGCCACCACTAAGGAAGTTAGGGAAGATTACGAAAATCAGGGCTTGACAACTCATAACTGGGCCTGGCTGGGAAATGAATTCTTCCTGGGTTATTTGTGAAACAACATTTGTGACTTGATTCACACCTTTTCAACTCTACCAAATACTCTAGTTAATAGCTAATCATATGATGGAAGTATAACTTAGGAATCTATAGACATCTTAGGTCCTTTTTTGAAAAACTACTTTTTAGGCTGGGGATGTGGCTCAGTGGTAGAGCCACTGGTCCTTGCATGTGCAAGGACCCAGGTTCAATCCCCAACAACATATAGTAATGGAGATGCAGTTAATACAGTATCAATGCTGCTAAATATTTATTAATCTACACTATAAGAATGCAGAAATATACCAGAAACATTACCTTGATGATCCTCTAAATCCATGTCAAGTTGTCTGATTTCTTCATTAAACTGATTTATTTTTTCTTTTATATCTGTCAACCTGTTGGAATTTTAATGAATTTATGAGGATAACAGACATTCAGTAAAAACTTAATGATAATGCTAACATCTTTCTAAGTTGCATAAATAATATGCCTTACTTTGATGACAATATTACAAATTTAGAGAGAAAAATCTTTTCTGGATCTCTTTTCACAAATCCTATTGAAAGCACAAGTGTATTCTGAGAGCATTAGGTTGCCTGACTTTGAGAGCTGACTCTTCCCCAATCTTTTAAGCTTGACTGTCATTCTAAGAATATGACAAATCTTTAGCAACTTTTCTTTCACAAGTTTACACAAAATGGAGTTGGCAAATTAGCCTCAAAACTTAGAAAATGAGGGGAATTTATCACTGGTAGATTATACAGGTTAAAAAAAATTTTAAACACCTATACTTACTAAAAAGCTCAGTAATCATGACAATATCATACTGGAAAATAGATAGACATATCAATGGACTAGATTCGTGAATTCAAAAATGAGACCATATATCTATGGTCAATTCATTTTGAACAATGATGCCAAGACAAATAGGAAAAGATTAGAATTTTCAACAAATGCTACTGAGACAACTGAAAAGGCACAAACAAATACAACTGAACTCCTACCTCATATAATATATTAACCCAAAATAGATCAAGGATTTAAATGTAAGGGCTAACCTAACCTTTCTTATAAGAAAACACAGGTACAAATCTTCACGACCTTGTATTGGACATTGGTTTCTTAGGACACCAAAGGAATAAGAAAAGAAAAAAATAGATAGCTGGGCTTTAGCAAAACTGAAAGCCTCTGTGTTTCCAAGAAAATCACCAAGAGTGAAAAGACAACTCACAGAACGAGAAAAAGTATTTTACAAAACATTTGCCAGATAAGGGACTTGTATTTAGAACATATAAGAACTCTTTAAACTAAATAATAACAAAAATGATAATAAACCCACTTTTTTTTTTTTTATTGTACTGGGATCGAACTTAGGATCATGTGCTTGGGAGGCAGGCACTGTGCCACTGAGCTAAATCCCGAGCACTGTAAACCCACTTTTAAAAGTGAGCAAAAGGTCTTAAATTTTTTCCAAAGAAAATATACACCTGGCCAATAAGCACATGAAAGAAACCTCAACATCATTAGCTATCAGGGAAATGCAAATCAAAACCACACTAAGTCCAGGGATTTAGCTCAGTGGTTCCAGTGCCTGCCTCCCAAGCGCAAGGTCCTGAGTTTGATCCCCAGTACCAAAAATAAATAAATAAATAAACCATACTAAGATAACATTTCACACCCATTAGGATGGCTACAGTAAACATCAACAAAAAAAGACAAATAATAGTGTTAGTGAGGATATGGAGAAACTAGAACACTCATACACTACTGACAGGGATGTAAAATGGTACAGTTACATTAGAGTTTATCTTTTGCAATCATTTGATCTCATTGGACTTTAATTCATAAAGTTAAACAGAATTACCGCATGATCCAGCAATTCCATTCCTAAATATTTACCCAAGTAAAACTATATGTCCACAAAAACTAACACACTGATGTACATATCAACATGATTCATAATAGCCAAAATATGGAAATAAGACAAATGTCCATCAACTTATGAATAAATAAAGTATAGTATATATGTATAATGAAATATTATTTAGCAATAAAAAGAAGTGAAATACTGATACATGCTACAACATAGATGAACCTTAAAAACATTATGCTAAGTGAAAGCATCAGCCACACAAGACCATGTATGGTATGACTATACTTATATAAAATGTCCAGAATAGGTAAAACTACCAGACTTAAAGTAGACTGCTAGTCATAGAGATGGGAGAATTTTTTCTTTTTCTTTTTATTTATTTATTTTTTTTGGTGATTTATTTTTGAGACAAGGTCTCACTATGTAGTTTAGGCTATCCTTGAACTCATTATGTAATCCAAGCTGGCCTCAAACTTTTAGTGATCCTCCTGCCCCAGCCTCTAAAGTACAGAGATTATAGGCATGGCCCATCACACCTGGCTGAGATGGGAGGGTACTGACAAAGGAAATGGTAAAAATTTGTGGGGTTTTATTAAGATGCATGAATCTTTTTTAAATTAATTATACAACTCTGTAAATATACTAAGAAGCTCTGAATTATATATTTTAAATATGTGAACCAGCCATGGTGGCACACTCCTGTAATCCTAGCACTCTAGGAGGCTGAGGTAAGAGGATCATAATTTTGAGCCCATCTTGGGCTATTTAGTTACTATGCCAGACCCTGTCTCAAAATAAAAAATTTAAAATAGGACTATGATGTAAGCTATGATGTATCTCAGGGAATTATAATATGAATTATTTTTCTTTTCTCCTTTTCTTTTCTTTTCTTTTTTTTTTCCAGTGGTGCTAGGGACCAAATCCAGGTCCCTGAGCATGCTTGGCAAACACATCTACCAGTGAGCTATACATTCAGACCTGAATTATATACTTAGAAAACTTTTTAAAAGTCATAACATGTGTCTTAATTAAATACTCAAAAAAATATTTAAAGCTGTAAGATTGAAAGCTGCATTAATATTGTCAACATGAACCACAAGAAGAACCTGTAACCATATGCATGCTTAGAAATTTAGAATGTAATTTAGGAGATGAAAACTGAAAGTAAAATGTCCCAGTATAAAGGTACTTACTGTCTCTCCATGCTGGCTATTTCCTGATTATCTTCTTTAACCTATAAAGGTACAAAAAAAAATAGCATTTAAAAAATAACTCATTACTAAGTGAGACATGGTGGTACATTCCTGTAAGTCCAGTACTCTGGAAGGCTGAGGCAGGAGGATCAGAAGTTCAAGCCCAGCCACAGCAACTTAGTCACAGAGATTCCATTTCAAAAATAAAAATTTTTTTAAAACTCTAGGGATTTGGTTCAGTGCAAAGACCCTGGGATCAAGCCACAATACAAAAACAAAAACAAAACAACTAAAACACACATTACTAGACTATTTCAGGGGAAATTTCCGCCTAGAATATGTTATACTAAAATGACAAATCCACTCTTTTTTTTTCTTTTCTTTTTTGTAGGAAGTTTAATATTTCAATGGACTTTTTATTTTGTTTTATTTTTATTTTATTGGTACATTTTAGGTATACAATATAATGACATTCATCATTGGAAATTTGCA